CAAAAAAAAAAAACACAAACCAAGTGGTTTCTGAAAACAAATGCTGCTAGAGCTATTGACCCATTTTTTCAATGACTTTTAGGGTGTATTTACACTTGGCAGCTTCGGGTTGATTAAAACGAACTCTGGTGAGATTGCTCTGTTAGTGCAGTTCATTTGAGTAAATCTTAACACTACCATCTGAACTTTGGTGCTTATGAAACAAGCTTCCAAACTCTGGTGCCGTTTGACTGAAATATAAATGCAACATGGACCAAAGACGTCTAAACAAACCAGGATGTGATGTAATGCAACAGAGGAATTCCTGGTGCTATTTGACTTTACATATTTTATAAGCTCTTTGTGAGTTCCAAGCTGTTAAAAATAGCATCATTTGTACACACATTAGTGCATACAGGTGCATCTCAATAAATTAGAATGTCGTGGAAAAGTTCATTTTGAGTGTGTAATATTTACTTATGCTTTGCCAGTGTGAACCCTGGTTTAACCTATCATTAAAGGCCTGTTTAGAACAAGGACTTTTAAGGTTTTAATTATCGTTCTAATTCTGTGAAAAGAGTCCACACCACAACTATAACGATAATGACACTGAAGAATTATCATATTATATTATATTACTGATACCATTTTCAGAATAATTTTTTTCCAGCTAATATAATGAATGATAAAAACTTTGACAGTCAGTCAGAATCCATCCTGCTTTAAAGTGCTCGAGCGTTTAAATCAGCAGATTCAAAAGAAAAAAAAGAAAATGTATCACAAGAGGCACTCAAGTTTTTTCACAAAAAGGGGCCCATTACACATTATCGGTCTATGTTCTCTGTTCTACTTCCTTGCAAAGAGGATGCGTCTGGAATGTTTCACCATCATGCAATTCAATAAGCTGATGTATGCGATAACTCATTTCTAATGCACTGCATTTTCTCCAACTTAAGTCACACATAAATCAATATAGTCTACTGTAAATTAGTCATGAGCTTGACTTGCAAAATGTACTGTTAATTCTATTAGAAACTTGTGAGCACTTCCCTTATTGATTATCTTCCCATTAACCAATGTGAACAAAACAAAGCAGATAACAGACATACTGTACACTCAAGCTGATGCATTATGTACCTTACTGTAAACTTATTAATTTATTTTGGATTATTTCCAGAGGATTCTTTTCGAAGAGTTTTTTAAATGAAGGCCAATGCATAAGTTTTGTAGTTTGGAGCAATAAAAGTACTTTTTATTATTATGTATATCTCGAACTGTCTAAAAAATTCAATGTGGGTCCTAAAGCTAGTTTAGTTCAAATGTTTTTTTTTTATTACATTTTTAACATTATTTTATAATTATTAAGATAACCAAGGCTTGATTTTTTTTATCTCATAATTCTGACTTTTTCTCAGAATTTCTAAATGTATATCTCGCAATTTGGTTTTCGTTTCTGCCACAGAATAAAAAAAATTAAAAAAAATATGCAACTTCTCACTATTCTGATTTTTCTGAAAAAAGACAGAATTATGAGATATGAGATATAAACTCTGAATTGCAAGTAAATAGTGTGCGATTGTGAGATAAGTCGCAATTACCCTTTTTTTTCTAAATCATGAGAAATGGGTTTCCACAGGTTTTACTCTTTGACTGTTAGTCTTAGTTAACAAAGATTTTATCAAATATCTTTTTTAAATGAGTTCAAGTAAACCACAAGGCTAACATGCCAAAAAAACGAGTTTGAATCATGCGCTGGTTTCTGCTGATTTGAACCATTCACATATGTTTCTCCTGTTTCCTGAGCTTTCATTTCCCCTTTAAATGAGTAACACAAAGTGAGTGCTGAGATATAAACTCTGAATTGCAAATAAATAGTGTGCGATTGTGAGATAAGTCGCAATTACCCTTTTTTTTTTAAATCATGAGAAATGGGTTTCCACAGGTTTTACTCTTTGACTGTTAGTCTTAGTTAACAAAGATTTTATCAAATATCTTTTTTAAATGAGTTCAAGTAAACCACAAGGCTAACATGCCAAAAACACGAGTTTGAATCATGCGCTGGTTTCTGCTGATTTGAACCATTCACATATGTTTCTCCTGTTTCCTGAGCTTTCATTTCCCCTTTAAATGAGTAACACAAAGTGAGTGCTTCAAATCACATGACTTACAGGGACGTAAAGGCACCTAAGCCCTTAACTGTTAACTTATATTATCTGGTTATCAAATCCTGAGAAAGGGTGAAAACAGAACAACATTTCAGCGGCGTCAGTCAAAAATGACAGCTTATCAAGTCTTGAACTATTTCATGAATGCAGGTAGGAATCAACAGAAACCATGTCACATGCATGACATGACAGGACCTGACCTGATAGCTTGCAGTACTATGGTACTGTCACAAGACAAAGAGCTGAGTGTACAGTATAGTCCAACTGACCAGTGTGTTTATGCAAAGTAGGTCAATCAATACCTACTCCATGTACATGTAATACTTACAAATGGTGAGTAAGGCTCCCCTGTTTCTGTAATGCCCCCAGCCATCTCAAAGAGAAAAACACAACTCTAAAACCTGAAAGTTTGCCACCCTGATGAAAGAAAAGACTGTTTTAATATTTCATACACTACAATTTTGCCAAAGAGACATAAGTAGGCCAGAGTAACATGGCTAGCGTCAACCGTTGTTTTTGATTTATTTATATTCACTCAGTTGTCACAGAATATGGCAGATTTAATGTCTTTTTCATTATGGTTATATAATTTTCAGACAGAAAACTTTTTAAAATCACTCATAACGCTAAAAGAAAAGGCTCACCTGTCACCGTTTGAGGCGACTCCAGTTGTCAAGCGAAGTTGTTGTTTATTAGAAACGCACGAGTTTTCTTGTGACGTCCTCACGATCAGCGACGCAATGGCAGAGTGGAGCGCATCGTGTCCAACTCACTGTTTGATTAGCGGATAATTAAGACAGGCTGCAGAAGTTCTTCTGTTTGGGAAAACATATCTATTAAAATTAGAGCGTATACACGGGACGGCAGAAGCAAACAGTTCCTGCGAAAGGAGGTGGAGCGTAGCAGATCGGAAGTGTTCCTTGATTGGTTGGATGTGGTGACGTTTCATGAAAAAGACGTTTTGTGACGCTTGCGTTATGGAAGCTGACTTTTCTTGTATCTACTTTACTTTTACTTTTAGTCATTTAGCAGACGCTTTTATCCAAAGCGACTTACAAATAAGAAAAAGTAATTAAAACTAAAAGCTAAAACTCTATGAATACTATATATATACACACATTTAAGAAAATAAAAGAAATTAATT